CAACATTGTGGGAGCTTGTCTGCAACTTACCGGAATTTTGCAAAAATATGCAGCTTTGTTAGATCAAAGTAAGCCAGGGTTTTTGAATAAATATGTGGCACACTTGACACTGAAACCATAGGAGCTTTGCAATTCTGCAAAGCGAGTACTGTACGTTATGCTCTTCGGGACAGAGTCGACAGTGAGCTCCGTAGACTACACTAAGATTACACAATCTAACCTGTCCAGTATTCCGATTGGGCAGCTCCTATAGTGCTTGTATGGAAGGGCGATGGTACAATAAGGATCTATGAGGACAAAAAGCTTAAGGTTAGCTAGGCACTGCAATCGGACCGATTCCCACTGCCAAAGTTCCAAGACATTTATGCATCCCTATCATATGGCGAACTTTTTATCAAACTGGACCTGAGCCAGGCATACTGGCAGATCGAACTCAACGAGGACTCGTGTGCCCACGCCGTCATCAACATACACCTTGGATTATTTCGCTACATACGCATGTGTTTTGAAGTAATCTCTGCGCTAGATATGTTCCACTGCATCGTTAAGTCATTACTAAAAGACATACTAATCACATGCGCCTACACGGATGATATCTTGCTCATTGGAAGCACTACTGATGAATATCTACACACTTTGGATGTAGTTCTGCAAATTATATCAGATCACGAACTTACTTTAAAAAGGAAAGTGTGAATATTTGTTTAAAGTGCACGTTGCCTTTAATATCAACAGGTGGGTTAAGCCCATCAGAAAGAAACACTAGGGCACTAACTATTTGATGCACCGGCACCCAAAAATGTGAACGCATTGCGGTTGTTTTCTGGGGCGGCCACGCAGTTTTCCCGATTTACACCGTCAGCGGCAACACATTTGGATCTACTATACCAACTCTTATTCAAAAATTAACCTTGAAATTGGAACAGAGACTTTAAAAGTGCTTTCAGCGCTATTAAAATTCTTTTGGCATCCGCCGAAGTTTTTCCACATTACCACCCAAGAAAATCAATTATTCTATCTTGCGATGCTTCACCCTATGGTCTTAGGGGTGAATTATTGCACAAACTGTCGACAGCAGTCTTCAACCTGTTGTTTACGCTTCACGAACATTGACAGCAGCTGAAGGAGCAAGCTGTACTCACAGCTTGCTCGAGGGGTAACCACGGGTTTTCTCGGTACTGCTCGCTTTCATCAATACCAACTCGGTTGACTTTTTCTGATTTACACAGATCATAAAAATCTTCCATTCATTGTTGAACATGAGTAATGGATTCAACAGATGGTCTCATCCAGAATGATCCGTTGCCTCCAAGGCGACCAGTATTACATAGTAAATTCCTCCAGTCTTGTTCTGCCGATGCTCAGGAGGCGTACAAGACAGCGGACTTTGTGTAACAGAGCGAAAGAACAGAAGATTTGACAGTTCGAAGGTCAGCTTGCAACCACAGCGAAAAAAGCCCCGAGGGAAATTTATTTAAGTGAAGCAGACTAATTCCAAACGGAGTGCGCATGATTTCTTTGTGTAAGCGCAGCATTCGCACTTTGTTTAAAGAGATTGCCACTTGCCTCTTCTCTTCCACTATATAGCCGGTGTTCGAATATGACTCATTAACCTATTGTGCGATCGTTAGCGAAAGGCGGACACTGGGACTTATTCAGCTTGTCGTTACCAGGTTCATCCCCGGTTTACGGGGTATGAAGTGAGATACATAAAATTGGGGCTGTACACCAAGTAGTGTCGTCGGTTTCTAGTAGACTTGGGCTCACTGGATTTTCCATCTGGGTGATTTCCCTGTGTTGAGGCCGCTTCTGCATGGGCACTAAGCACTCATGGGCACGGGCACAATCGAGTTCTAGTAGGTGTTATTCTAGTAGTACCGAATTTACGGTGTATAGATCACCCTCTATGCTTCCAGTATCAAGTGGTGAACTATTAGAAGAGTTCATCTGATACTATGATCGAGGAATTTGAGAAACTCCTAAAAGTCCACTTTGCTTAATACAGATATTGGGAGCGCGTCGCGTCTAAATTGGACGTTGCACGACTACACGATTTAGAAAATTCGCGTCAATGAATGACATAATTCCGGGAGTGTGCGCGATCATAATTCTGTGAGGGAGCATCTACTAATTTCAGTAGTCAATATAGGCTTCGTGTATTCGCTGTAAACCGCTGTTCCAGCTGCAATCGAGTCAGTCTTACTACCGGTCGGGATTACGACGCAAATCAATGTGACAGGTGTCCCACAGCGCGATTATGGGTAGAACGTAGTATAAAGTGTTCAAACGTGGTAGAAGCTTCCTCGTGTCGCTGTCAACAACCGCAGATAAGACGGTTAAACAAATGCTTGGAGATTTTGAATAACTAATCGGTACGTATTTCTTTACCTGCCTGCTGTTTAGCAGCCGACAAGAAAATAACTAACCTGAACCTTTAATCTAATGGAATCGTGGGGATTCATTCCATTGTCCGGACTAAATCGTACACTGTACCAACAACGCTCGTATGACACAGGGAAAGTAAAATCGCTTCATGTTCAAAAATATAATAGAACGAAGTAGAAAAAATCAGCTTTCATCATCTTTCCGTGAGATTTTCCTCTACGGAGCAGTACAGTGAAAATGCTACTGAGGGAAGTGGTGAAACGTTTGTCATTAAATTACTCAGCTCGGAGAAGGAATCAAAACGTTAACTACCAACCCGAGCTACAGGTATTCCGAATCATTGTAATCATCTTTCATTGTTCGACCCTCTTCGACTTGGAACTCAAATCAGGGGTCAAAACCCGGGTAGCGGCGGCCATCTCCACTCCCTTGCATGCATTCCATGTCATTATTAGACTGGAACCATCCACCGATTTGTCATAATTGACAACAATCTTCTTGGCAACCCAGCAATCCCCTCTGTCCCAACATGCAGCCCTTGCATAGTGACTGTATGTGAATACTTACTACCGGTACAAAATAAAGTCCTCGGATCAAACACTGAGCAATTATCCCGCAAAATCATAGCGCTTGCGATAGAGTTTTCGAGTGAGATAAATGGGCTAGTGGTGAATCTTTCAGTGGGGAAACCAGGATGTCTAGACTCCAGGTTTCATTTTTAGCCAATCGGTAATAAACACATGGATGGAACTGATCGTGGAGCAGTGTTGGAATAGACAAAATGCTAAAACGTCCATGCGTCAACTGTGGTCCGAAAGATCAGGGAGATCGAGGTAAACTTCAGGGAAAATCATCGGAAGCAAACATACCGGCGGTGAATTGAATATGCGATAGGAATTTAAGGAGTTCAGCAACGAACTATTTTCCGATTGTCTTTATAATGGCCACTGTTATAGTTTGACTGATGTTACATATCTTGCAATTTCCCGGCAACAGCGTTAACTCAAGCTCAGACGGATGAATCCAAGAGTCAAGAACAGTCACTGCGTTAATATATATCGTGTGTAACTGGGGACTCAGTTACCTAGGCAGAACCGATAGGTTCTGGGAGTTCCAAACAAAGGAACATGTGCCAAGGTAGTTTCAACGTGAAATTGACCAGAATCTATGTCTGCGTTAATATCCGTGCTCGCTCAGGCCTCACTAGGTAAGAATCTACTGGTCATGCGTCACTGAATATAGCTTGGATCAGCGTTCACAAGCATGCCACGTCACTCCAATCCCCGCATTCTGCGTCTCGCCGAGGCTATTACAATAAACCGGATGAAGCCGTCTCTGTGTGTTTAGAATCAATTATTAATCAACTTAAGGCTGCCATGAACATAGAGACCTAAGTTCTGTCTTTCACTTTGCACTTATTGCTTATTTTGTCACACCCATAGTGAACTACATAGTCAGATACCTTAATTGTTAGCGGTATTGGAAGGACAAAACATAACGCATGCATCTACCAGATTTCGTCTCCTTACTTCAATTTGCGATTTGCTAAAGGGAACTAAATACTATAAGTATCTAAAAGCTTCTACTCGCTCCACACTTAAGCACATATCTGAGCGCATCGCATCCAACAAAATTCATCGCCAGTGAGCAGTAGGCGGATTGATTGCCTTTGAGAGACTTCCTCCCGCCTAGACTCAGCCAGAAGAATCTTCTCAGCAAAACACTCGGGACAGCCAGCACCGATTTGCTCAACGGTTAGTTCACTTCCTAAACAGTCATGTTAGATTCGACATCTCATAAAAACCAAACGATCGCATCCACCCTAGTTAAGTCTATTGGTCGGACAATCGGTAGGCCTCTCTTAGACCATTTGTTGGTAACAGAGCAGCAGAAAATCCAGGCCAATGGTCGATTAGTTGATGCATTGGTCAAGGGATGGTTATTGTGAAGTTTTCTGCAATCAGCAAAGACTTGATCTCTACGGATCGATTGCCAGGACATTGTTCGGCTTTTGATAAGCTCCCTGGGTGGTGTGTTGCTCAAATCCTAGTGAAGTAAGCAATCAAGTACATACTCCAGGTGGGCAATCGGAAATCTTTCATAACGAACGTTCATAAGTTATTCCGTACCGCAACCTTACATGTTCGACAACTCGGGGAAAAGTGATGCATGAAGTCAGAGACAGTTCAATCCCTCGACCGTCTAGCACTGGTGAGTCGCGGAGATGACGAGTTCTGTGAATACTCCATTATTTTCGAGCGCGCATATAGTCTGTTGATTCGGAATGGGCAAAAATAACATGCGGTCACTGACTGAAGCTTCCAGATGCTGACGCTGTCGATACAACGTCGTACATACCATTAGGCCAGGAATAATTAAACACCGCCTCTTACCTCAATCACAAAATGAAGCTAGGTATATTAGATACAGTTTTCACTGCTCATATCAGGTTTCACAAAAGTGCAAAAGCTTCTTAACAAATCGTAGCCATGGTGCACAGGCGTGTACCCATTAATTTTAACAGTACAGTTTAAAAGCAACTCGGTTTATGTTTTTCGATTTCCATATACTCCACTTCATTTGATAAGATCAGATTTTGGATCAAAGCGACTCACATCAGTAATTTATCAATCTTTTGGTAAATTTGTTCTCGGCTGGAGTAGAGACCCTCTACCGACTTCATAGCTGCTGGTTTGTCGTCCGTGACTTGAAAGTTTGCTCCTGGATCGTCCAAGTATTGAATAAGGAATGAAGCAGTCATGTATCGATATGTGGCTTGGCTCCATTGACTTTCTTGCGCAAGCCTCTCTGCGTAGCCCACTGCCAATAGCCACTGCGCACGTAATCTGAAAACAAACGTGAGATCACCTTATCCCTCAAGCAGTAATGCAAAAAGCCTATTGGTACATATGAAAAATGGAAATGTGCCAGTCGTCATATGGACGCCACCGCTAATATCCATATTGTTAATATTATCATGGATAATGATAATACTATTGTATTTCATGAAGAGAAATGCAAGAGAGCAATCGATAAGCACGCAAGATAAACTCACGCGTAACACCACAGCAACTCCCAATAACACATGTGCCGATAGTGGGTCCAGTCCACGGGAGTTTGTAGAGACGTTTCATATGTTTGTATTGCCTTGAGAAAGTACACATGAAACGTTGAATTTTCCTACCCGATCATTATAAATGGAAAGATTGTTAAAGTCTACCCGAAATACGCCCACTTTCCTTATGGCTACAAGAGGAATTTTTCAACAGAGACAAGTAGTAAATCCCTTCACCCGAAAAAGGTAAGGGAGAATAAAAGTAGTCTGAGCAAATACAATTAAAGACCGTAGTTTTCAAGAGGAACTGCTGTCTTGCTAATCTGCTTAGATGGAGGCCACATGGTCTGTAGGTAATTTTGTATTTAGAAAGTGACAAACGGGAAAAGAAGTCAGGGAACGGCTGAATATCAGTGCTCTGCATTCAAGGGCTTATACCATACGACCAACAACTTTATCAAATACCTAACATCAGTGGACAAAGCCAACAATAGTCTTGATGGACTTCCGATACCCTGCCTAGGTTTTGATCGTGTCAACCCCCCCCCCCCCGTTGGGATCGAGTCCAGTTCGGCAGCACATCACATGTTAACTTAACCTTGTAAAGCGTTTATATAACCATATTTGTAATCAAGTGAATACCCAGTAAACTGGAGTCCCAGCAAGTATCACCCATCATTCTGAATGTGCTGCGTGTGTTACGGGTTACTGCCCATTTCAGTTTTATGCTAATTAAAAATTTGAACAGGAAAGTGCCTTGTTAACACCGACCTTAAATAATATCTGTAAGACAGCATTACTTCTGAATGAAGAGGTACAGAATAAATTCCGTGAATTCTATGTACGTGAGCCTTAGGCTAAACATCACTCTTGTGATCACATAGCATCATAGGGGGAATATACTGAAGTGACGAAAACTCACCTGTTCAATGTCACCCGCAATTGATTGATATCGCCCAACAAGAAGTTGGAAGATCGCACTAGTAGGATATATTTGTCGCCAATGTTCAAGGAGCTGTTTTACCTCCAGGAATTCGTCCGGTTTTTCAAACGCTGAATAAGAGGAATGGTATGCATAAAAGAGGAGGTTTATTATGAGGCAGATAATCTATTGATAAACAAAGTCATGTAAACGAGCCACTAATGCTGAAACAGAATGTCCGCTTTGTGGTATTAATGAATTTGCTACCTAGGTTCATAAATAGATTGATTTGCCAAATTCCTGGTCTGAGAAAGTTTCCGCGTTAATCCCATTCTAATCACACTCTGCGATTGGTTCCACTTTTAATTCGACTAGTAGCATCTACTGAAACTAGGAAGCAGTCCGAGCCGTCTAGGTTACGAGAAGGCCCGTTTCCCGTCCATCTATCGAACTCGACAGTCAGATGGTCATGTAATTTCTTAATAGGGAATTCACATGATCCTCAAATGCCTACGCAGTTCAAAAGCATTACACAGCTCGATGAACAAACGTGCAGTAAGAAGCGCATTAAGTTAGAATGGTGCAGACCAATTAATATGAGTCTTGCTTGTGTACACGTGCGAGGGTCAAAATAGCCATGGTGTCTCGTGTATTTAAAACTGAGGCAACCACATGCTGAAAGATAAGAAGTTGGTGAAAGTTGATGGTGTCCGTTTAGGAAAGGAAGCGGTACATATCTATTACAAGACATTCGCTATCCGTGTCTTGAAACATGGTGAAAACAAGCTGTTCGTTACCTGCATAAATCAGGTGCAGGAATCGTAATCAAAGAAGGGAAACCGTGTCCTAGCCACAATAAAACAATGCTACCTAATGAATAGCGAAAAGAGATACATGGTATAGCAAATACAATGATGGCAACTGCGAAAATACTGACTGTGATGGCGACGGTGGTAATGATGCTAACAACGCTAATGAGGATGATACTGCTAATGTTACATTTAAATTGTTTATCGTCATTGCAAAGACCGTTCAACACGTAGACTATTAAATACCCTGTGGTAGTTTGAACAAGACAATGGGAAAACGAGCAATGCAAACTGACGCCATTTCGTGTGGTCTGAACACTTGCGAACTAAAAATATCCAAAGCCCAAGCTGGAGAGAAAAACGACCATTTTCGAAGTTGCTCAGTAAAGAAAGAACACAGACACAAAACTACAGATGTTGGGGCTGTGGTTAAGCTATTTGTCGTACATTCAACGCTGCCAAACTCTATCCTGATTAGAAAACCAGAAAGATGCGCACGAATCCAGCCAAATATGCTAAACCGGTCTACGCCAGAACTCATTGCAATTACCAATTCATTTGTAGCTGCGGTAGCCACTACACTGGCAAAACAAATCGTTGTCTGAGTAAGTGCCTTGGAGAACATGTACCGAAGTGAATTGCCAAGATGACGGCGCAACAACCAACTGGACAAAGAGCAGCAGCTAAACTGCCTGCGTCATCCATTGCTAGATACCTAATGGGTGCTGGTCATCAAACTGATCCTGACTCAACGTTTAGGGTTGTGCACTGAAACGAAAACTCCACAGTGCTGAAGTTTGCGAAGGCTATGATTCCTACTCGGCACTGTCCTACTATTTGTGTAGAGAAGCAACACAGTGTCCCCAAAACTTCCTTGGTGTTCAGGACCACTGCCCAGCTCAACCACCTGTCGTTCTGTATCTGTGTTCTTTCTTTCCAGATTAAGTTCGAGAACGATTGTTGTTACATTCTAAGTGACCAGATAACACGAAATGTGCAGTCACGCAATACTCGTCTTCTAACTGTTTTGTTCACTCATATTTTGGGTTAGTCGATTGTTGTTGCTATGTTAGTAACATTTAACTGCCGCAACTTACAAAATCCGCATTAGAGGTTCACCCGTATGCTCCGCGTCTTGTCTGTTTTCTCTGATGTCATCCACCATTGCGCTCTATCATCGAGGAGCGCTTTACAAGAAGGTGGAGTTGGACTTCTAATTGGTGATTATTTTGGCGTTTCACCTGCTGTTGAACTTACTGATGGATGCTAGGCCTTATCCACGGTATAATGCTAGCTTCGATTTAGAGCTGCGCGCATCCCGGGTAGGTGACACTGGTTCGATATGTTGCTCTCATAAAAATGGCAACCAAAATCCCCAGTAAACCGTCAAAGCGTCTTTTAGAGTGGATTCTGGTAAAATCCATTCCGCTTCCGAGTTAACTTTTATCAACGAAACCTAAACTCCGAAGGTTGATAACCAACACAGCTTGTAGACCCAGCATGAGAGTGGAAGTTTCGGACGTCACACATTTCTTCGAAATAGTTTAGCAAGTTTTTCTGTCTTGGATATCTGTTACCGTTCTCTGTGAATGAACCCGGAGTTTCATGACCCTTGGGTTGCATCCTCCATAATTTGATGAATTTGACAGCGTTTTGAGCGATCAAGCCACAACTTTATTCAAGGAAAGTGGATCACGAATGCACCACTACCGTTTCCAATCGTGAGTTCCGGTCTCTTGAATATCGTTTAAAGGGTACTGACACACCACTGAAGAAGACTTTTGTTAGACGATCCTGATTGGATTGGCCACTTACGACGTTTCCTTTCAAGTATTGCGCGCTCCATTGGACATCAGAATAGATGGGTATCCGACATGATCAGTGTTGTAGCACGCTTACGGTAAGCAATACGTTTTCAATCTCAATGGTGCGTCCAATTGTCACTTTAATAAGTCGCAGTTCACCAAAGTTTGCAGTTCGTGGGATGAGCAGATCGTACCATATTTGTGGGTTTAGTTTTGACGTTCAGCAAAATAAACATGTTCCATTGGTCTTGATCGTCAAAGAAGTTACTCCACAATGTGAAGGCAGTATATTCAGAGACATTTGTAGACAAAACAGCCAGGGCGTTATAGTTAGATCCGTCATTAGTTGAGCTGCAAGGTCAGGTGAGCGTTGGTCCTGGCGTTTTGCCAAGTGATGTTTGACTACTGTCGGTCGCTCTATTCGTGTTAGCGTTGTTCGTAACAGAAGAGGCCGCAAGAGTGGCATCCGGAGTGAACTTTATAGCAATCTCAGTATCCGTGGGAAACTTGGTCTAGAAAAGGGACCTTTGAGCTGCAGATGCAGAGGACTGGTGTTCGTTTGCTCTCTCTCTCTGTTAATGATGCAAGGTGCTGAGACCGGAGGAGTTTGATCGATCGCACGTTTCGGGTGATATCTGATTTTAGCCTGACGTTCTGCCATTGATGTCAAAGATAACGACTATGAAGACTTTGTCGGTCGTCGTTTAAGGGAAGTAATTTGCACCATGCTCTTGCTTGGAAAACATTATGTTTCATGACGCATGCTCGCCTCCATTGAAGCATGCTTATTGCTTATCCGTTGTTAAATGGTCGTATTTATGGACTAAGGTAAGCATAAACTTCATGAATGGAATGGTCGAACACGCAGTACAAGACCAAAGGATGTCCGGAGAGTTATTCTGCTCTAGCGCCTGCTGTCGCAATAACTTAGCACACATCGGTTGATACCAGTTGGAACAGTGCGGGCAGGCTAACCTTGATTTGACTAATCGATTACATTGTCCTGGCTCCTAAATACCCTTCTCCGGGAGCTATTTTAATTCACATTTGTTTGATTTATGCAGTTCAGCGTGGTGTCATTGCCTGATCCAGAGAGATGGTTGATGTTCCTTACTTGTCAGACTTTTGTCGCTGCGCACATCGGTCAAACGCGTTATGGTTATCAAAGTCAAGTGATCGGGGATAATTACTCGGTGTAGTTGCGCGATCTGTGTGATAGGTAACGTAAGCTTGCTGGCTGACAAAGTCATGGAGGATGGGGGTGAGTTGGGTTTATCGATTTATTCCGAGTTAATGTTGGGTGACCAGCATCGGAGGCAAGATTTTGAGACAGTGACTGCAAAATAATTGGAGAAGTAAGATTTCCTATTAACTCCACGACCTCAAGAGAGCTCTTTCGAATAAGGGCAAAAATTCCAGAAGATAGCGGAAAAATCTGAAAACTCCGTAAGAAACACAGATGTGAAACAAACGTTGAGGCGAAAAGAATAATCAAAAAGCTAGTTGCCCACCTTGAAGACCTTATAAATCCGAGTCGAATGAATGTAAGCTCAATCGTTCGTAACAAAATTGTGTGAAATGATACACACAAAGGCAAGAGCGATGAAGCAGTTTGAAGACACTTAGAGAACATGGCGGCAGAGCTACATATACCGTGCATCTCAAACCTACAGGAGGGACGTGTCCAAGGCATGCGATTTTTCTTATTAGTTTCTGTAATCCAACTCAATGAGTCAGGTGAACATAGCCATGGTTGATAATAACATTACTTCCTACTACCAACGTCTTACTTTAGGTCTAGGCAACATAACAGACAGCATTTCTGAATGGACAAGTTGAAGAATGTATGCTTCGGCCAAAAAACTGATAATGGACCATCTTTTCATGGCAACTGAAGGTTTAGAACAGCCACAGGCTTTTCATTTAATACGAAGTGAGGAAAGTATAAAGTTGACGGTGTTATCTTCTTGCTACCATGATAACACAAAATATGTATGGTCTGACACTAATAGACAGATATTTAGCTGATTATCATCATGAGGAGGAGCAACACGGTTTGTAATCTTGGCAAAACTATACAATCTTGGTAAAATACTTTACCTTTTCGAAGCGCCTTTTGGACTATCAGTGGCGTGGGATGTTTCCAGAATGTGTTACAATCAGTCCAAGAAAGAAAAAAGCAGTCTGGCCGCAAGATTAGACAACTAGAACGACTAGTGCCCGATTATTAAGCATTTCACTCTACTCAACATTCAGCTAGTAGATGAATCTGTTGAATTAGTACTTAGTTTACAAACCAGTAGTACTTGAACGGCTAGCTTAAAACCGTCAGATGGCAATTCTTGTATTAAAATCCACTATAGCAATAACCATCGTAATGTGAACCGCTGCCTATGGAGATCAGTCGATGCGCGTTCGTTCGGAAAAAGTTTCTTCCATTGGCTCTGAATCATTGTCAGCACGCGAATAACCACCGTGCACATATATCTTCCAAAGACCATTTACGCACAACAAACTATATTTCCGTCAGAACGTCTCTGATAGGTGCTCGGGTAGCAGACGCGGACAGAAGTTCTAGAGCCCAGTTGTACACCGTAGCATATCAGCGTTTGAAATATACCGTCGCTGTGTCAGTGATATCGGATGATCGACCGACCAGTGCAACATGCCTAATGGATATTCAGGTGCCGATTCTGAGCTTCACCCAAGGTGCCATATGTTTGCCTCAGATTCCGCACTGGTCTCTGATTGTTGACTTCTGTAAATGTAGGCCAGTGACGGAAAATGATTCAAAATTGAAGGGTAATCAGTACTTTGCTATGAATAGTCGACATAGTTAATGCAATAATATGATCAATAGGAGTTGCAGTTGATCGAATGGCAAACTATTAACCAAACAGAGGCTGATAAGCCAATTCTGGCGTGCAGTTGTTGTCCATAGGTGTTCAGTCAAAGTCGTTGAACATGAAAGGTTTGCTAAACGAAACCGACGGATCACGTCAACCCATGTAAGTTTACCGTCACTGAAGTCAAGAAGATCAGTGCAACAGCAGTCGTAAAGTAAAGGTTTTAAAGGACGGACTTACAAACCTAGTAACACTACAAGTCGAGTGTAAGGGATTTTCTCAATCAAGGATAGAATCAGGGTTCTTGATTCAGTCTGGATTAACTGGACTATACCGACTTACGACCTTATTCCATCTCAACAGCACTGATGAGGAATTGGCACCCCGCTTGTGCTCTTACGTCGCAAACAAGAGATTTGGAAGTTGGCGACAGACAGCGGAGGTCAATCATAGATGTAACAGCTTGGGGAAAGCAACAATATTAAATCGAGTAGCTTAGTGTCCGATATTAGGTAATTCGAATGGAAGAATCGCAATCCGCATGTGTTAAAATACAAAATTGAAGAAACGATCAGCCCATGCAGTTTAAAAAATGCCAACGCACCGCTTCAGATGGAAAGCTAAGGCGCCAATGCCCAATCTGCCGTGTGCTCATAAAACAGAGATGGGTGCAAGTTTTGCGGAAACAGCGCAGCACATAATGCAGCGGGTTAAGCCGATCAACGCTTTGCTATCAAACTCACCGATGTCTCCAGCAGCTGATATGCAATTGATTGCCGGAAGTTCAGTGAAACATACAAGAATTTAAACCGAATGCACAACGTTCTGTGCAAAAGACATTCAGTTGGCTAGTCTCACTGAGAATCCACACAAGCCCATAAATTCGACAAAGTTTGGAAAAATTAGCAGTGACGAACTTGGCAAAAAATTATACTCACCCCCCTCTACCATCACATTAAAAACATAGAAATGATACCTTTTCGATGAGGCAGACTACCTATCATCAAGTATGTATCGAGATTCACAAAGCCTCCAAAATGTAGTCGCTGAACCGTAGGCAATACAAATGCATTCATTCAACTGCATTGCGTCCTTCGCCTTCTTTTGCAATTGTCAGGGACACCGCTCCGAGAGCCTTTGCTATATTCACCTCAAGCATCGCACAAAAACATTTGACAGTTCTCATGGTGGCGGTTGGTCTCATACGAAGGCGTGATGGTCCTCTACCGGGGGTGGAGATGGTTGCTCTTCGTGCATTTGCCGTTGCCTGTTGACTACTATCACCAATATGTCGTACTACCAGCAAAACAAGGCGAAGTTTTTTTTTCACACGGTGTGAGAAAATAAGCACACTCTGTTCAACTAATTCTCTAACAATGGAGATTAAATGTTACCGTGGGATAAATTTTCTGACGCGAACTCTCCATGTTCGTGAGTATTTCTGATTCTCTTGCTTGCTAGGAATGAGAAGTACATGGAATAAAACCAAACTCAGTAACAATTGTTCGCTGACAAACGTCCTAATTGTGCCGAGATGTCATATGAACTAGTGGTAGCTGTCATTATCTGGGAAATATGGTTGTGCATAGGGTTGATTTACCATTGAGCGATATGCGGGGAAACGTATTTACAGAACTGAAGAAACCAAGCCAGGTGGGCCTAGCGAAATTCACAAATGGAATTTTATTTGCTTGTGACACGATCCAGTACAGTGACCAGCAGTGTGAGTTCACCAAGTCGGGACAACACACGCATCATATGCATCGTTTTCGACTTGGCATTTAGGGGTTGTAGGACGCAACTACGCTACGACACTTCGAAGCGATAGTGGTCATTAGCTGGTATACAAATACTAGTTAAAATGGCGAAAAGTCAGCTAGTATGGCGACTAAATTACGAATCCTCGACAGGGTATGGGATGAAAAGTACGGTGTAATTCAGTTCCAAGAACAAATCTGTAAGTCCCGAAAGCGAATAAGCTATTCCCGATAAGCTTGATAAATATTCCTAGGGATGCCATATTAACGATAGATTGCGGATGACAGGCTTGATATAACAAGCGTGATTATGCCAACAGAAAACGGTTGAAAGTAAGCACTGAGGTAGTTGTTCCATGAATTAACAAATCGGTTAGTGATGTGGACTTCTCGTATAAGTAACCGCAACCAGATGATTGCTGGTGTGCGCATGGCGCGCACCGACGGCGTAGCATGAGGCCCTCTCTGGGATCTATGTACTGGGATCAATCAAGGAGGTACATGGGAAATTTAGACCTTTGGCCACAGTGAACAACGGAACAATGGTTTTAAAGGGGTAAAAAGGTAAAGCTTAATAGGTCACGTAGGATGATTAGGGTGAAGTGTCAGCAAAAGTAGGTTCACACCGGTGGACTCACCGCGGTATAGTATTACATACTGTAAATCCACTGCAAATCCATAAGGAATGGCGACAAATGTGATATTGATAACAATCGCGTCGCCTCCATGTGAACACGTATAGGTGAAAAAGGTGGTGCTATGAGTAACTAGTCATGTGAGGTGTTACAGCGTAATGAGTGCACGGCGTACTCGGACTGTGAATTCTACCAGCGTGGGAGCAAAGATAGATTGCGGTAGGGCATTGGACTTTCGGCATACACTTGCGGAGAAATTCCGACGGCATTCCAAACGACTGTACTGCTCTGCTAGCTTAAGATGGTGGTCTCTCAGATACCTATTGTGCTTAACTTAGAACAATGCCAACACGTTTGGTTGGGATTTCTTAAAATCTGGCAACTCAAATTAAAGTCCCCACGCAAGCGTCGATATTATCCACTAAAGACCCCGTGCACTGAAAGCCTTTGTTTATACGGCAAATGATACAGTCCATTGAAATTCTGGGTTGCCGGCGTTGGGGTATCTCCAATGTGGCGAGATCCCTCCTTGACCATGGCTGTCAGAACTGTGTTGCATATTCCACATCTTGAGATATATATGATCCGAAAATCTGTTGTAAAATTGAAAAGTCGAATCTTCCAAACGCACGAGTCAAGAGGTCCATGTGTTTGATGCCCTTTTTGACGACTTTTCAGCCTGATTCGCAGATCAAATGTTGGCCTGGACCATGACGCCTGGATCCTTTTCGTCAGAAGAAGTTGGATGCTCCTGGTTGCCTAGTTTACAACAGTACGCCAGTTGGTGCCGTAAGAAGAGTACTCATTATTTTTCTCCATTAAGCTTAAGTGGATCCTGAATTGCTCACGCGTAAATCATGTCCAAATTAGATTGAAATAATGTGAGGTCAAGTGATGTATTTATCACCCTTCAAAACTTGATGTCTTCGGCGTAGAGCAGGCTATTCGTGCTTATGGGGCGTGTGCTATCTTGGGTATACGCCACAAATAACCGTGACCAAATACCGACCCCTGTGGTACTCCGCATTTTACTTGGAAGGGCTATGATAGAGATTTACCCACGCTTACCTCCAGGAGCCAGCGTTGGAAAAAGCTTCTGACCCACCCTAGGAGAGGATAATCAATACCAAATGTCTAGAGTTTGGAGAGCAAAATTCCATGGTCTAAGCTGTCGAATGCCTTTGAGAAGTCGAGCAAGACTACAACTCCTATGTCACTGTCAGCTGCTTTGGTCCAGTTGGATGGTGCTAGCAGTAGGCTTGTAGTGCAAGATCTATTTCGTTAGATACCATGCAAAGTAGGAAAATTCCTCCAAATAGGCCGTAAGTGCACCGTTAATAATGGCTTTCCATGACCTTTGAAGTATCGGTAGTATGATTACGGGACGGTAGTTGCATGGATTGGAACGATTTATTCCCTTGTGAATCGGAGTTAGAACCTGGTGTTTCCACATGTCTTGCACGTAACTTTTGTTAAAACAGAGTTGGAGGAACCGAGTCAAGAGCTTAACGAAGTTCTCTCCCACCGACACAAGTGCCTTTGGGTGAGTATTATTAAGCCCAGGTGAGCAGTGTGTACGCATACTCAACAGAACTTTCGGCACAGTTGCGGCGGTGAAGGAGATATGAGAGAAATTTTGGGATGAGACAACGTTCACACTGATCGCATTGAAAAGCTGGAGCATGTTGCAGAAACAGTGTATTCGCCGCATCGTTCGGAATCCGGGTCAGTCAGTCCGCTGTTTAAAAAGGAGGAATTCTGTTTCCACTTAGACTGTTTAAATGTTGATACAGCAGCTCGTGAGTTGTGGTCATGCGCACTGCCAACTTCTGATAGTGTGTCATTTTACCTTACGAACAAGTTGGGTACAGTGGTTATGTTGGGTCACATAGATCATCTAGGTCTCGGTGCTCGAAGATAGCTTATGGGTCAGGCCAAGTTTCGCACCGCTATACCCTTGCGTGTACTGCGCTGGCCGGCGTCTCGTCTGTCAGGAAGCTCCAGTTAGTTGTCTCTCCAAGTCAAGCCAATATGTCGTAGCGTATACTCATTCTCGTTGCATCAGCAATTTCCACGGGATATTCAGCATAACGGATGTATGCGAATTGTAAGTTTATTTGATCACGGCGGTCCAAGAGGACATCGACGAATACCCACTCAATGAACAATTCTTCGTTAGTGAATAGCTGATCTAAGTCAAAGTGAACGTTCAGTGTGTGACGGAAATACTACTTATTAAGAGCTTGTTATTTTGGTGGAACGTTTGCTGAACGCATACAAAGGACTATGAAAGGTACGGGCTTGGAAGTCAACAGATCAAGTTTCCGGATGACCCCGACGGAATTTTGACCCAAGTTTACACTGCTCAGCTACGAGTGAAATTTGCCGTGGTGCAGAATATATATGACATGCTGTTTGCGCAAACCTATTACGTTGGTTGCACAATCGAGGAAAATGAACGAAACAGCTAAGAAATCCCTCAAACTGATAACGTTAGTTGCGTTAACTATAAGAAGAAAACACAGCTTAATATGTACTTCCATAGAATGTCACCATTTAAATATCGATAATTTGACTGTGACCAGTGTGGTCTTCTAAATTGCCTAGAGAGAGAGAATCTGAAAGATTATGCAGAGAGCAAATTTCCGAGTTCAGGTAACAATTTATGACGTGATACCTGTCATAACGGGAACTTATCAACCTTGCTAAAAGAAGACTAAACTGGAAAATTGCTCATCCAAGCCATCAGAAAGCCATGTATAATTGACGGTTTCGCCCACTTTATGTTCGTATGTTGTCGATTAGGGACACTAGCACTGCTCGAGGAACTTTTACCCATCTAATGCATTAGCATAAAACCAATTTTCCCAAATACAAGGATACATAGACATGTGTTTCATGCAGAAGCCCAGACACGCTAAGTTATGCATGCGGTCTCTCATAACATATCGGCCGTTTTCAAAAAGAATATTTGAGGGAATAATTAGCTAGCTAGCCTTTGCAGGCCTAAAAATGACCTGAACGGTCATTTTCTCTCTTGAGGACTCCTCAGTATTGCGCTTTTCATCCCCAGCTTTGTTGTCACGAACCACCGATGAAGAACACTGAACCATATGGAATGACTACGGCCAACATAGCCGAGTGACTGGCTGTGATATAACAGGCATAGTCCTTCACTTGATCCTCCAATTCAAGAATTTACTGTGCAATCACCAATGTGTGATTGCACTACAAGGTAAGTAGGGACAAGTGCTTAAATTTTAGTGGTAAAAAATGGAAATGCATACATGAATTACCACCGATGCACCAACCAAGTGGCAAGTGGACGCTGGAAATACGCTTCACACCAGTTCCCTTCTTTTGGTA